CTGTTGGCAACCCCAAAGGGCATCTGTCTGGAATATATTTATTTTGGCTGGCTGTGCGTGTGTTCGTGGAGCTTCGCGCCCCCTCCCTTTGACTGTTGGAGCTGCTTGTATTTCCGCCGCCCTTGCCAGCCACTATTTGCTGTCTCCCTAATTGCAGCGGCCATTTTGTGGAGTGCCTGCGCTCCCCTTCCTTTGCTTCTGGAATTGTGGGCACAGGACTTGAATTTAGTGGAGTTGCCGCGCTCCCCACCTTGTCTTCGTTTAGTGACTGTTGCATCTGCCATTATGCCGAAGTCATTGGCCAAATCCAAATATGGTCGTAAAAACAGTTCTTCTACTCAGAGGCAGTCGGAGGATGCATCTACCTCGCATCAAGACCCTGCACAGTCACATGTTGCCCCATCTTCTCATGGGCATCACAAGAGTAGGAAGCATAGCAGTGCGCTGGACAAAGTAGAAAAACGCAGGGATAAAGTCCTCACTCAACTTTGTGCAAAAGCGAGCACTGGACTTCAGTCATCGACGGCCTCTGCTCCGCTACAGGGTTCCCGGCCGGCTACTCCTGACCAGCTGTCTCTCAGGGACTGTCCTGTCACTATCTCCACTTCGAATTTGTGGGGCACTACTGTTCCGCCCACTGTCGAGGATGTTCCTGATATACCATCTCCTCAGGATTCCTCTACGGTTCCCGTGGATCCGGCTCTGTCTCAGGAAGTGGTGACTTGTCCTCTTCCTACCGACCAACTGCAAAAGATGATCGAAGCTGCGGTACAAAAGACCTTGGCGGAGGGCCGTCGTACCTCCAGTGTGGCTGGTTCTGTTCGATCTGTCTCGCCAGAGCAGCCTCGTTCCTCGGGGCTCGAATCCTCTAGAGCGCTTCATTCTCCCTCGTGCTCCCAAGCTGGTCATCTCTCCACCCTGTCGGATGTGGACGACAGCGACTCTGGGTTGTCGGACGACGAGAATCTTCCACCTGATCAGCCGCCGTCAACTGCCCTCTTTCCGCAGGCATTGTTCAGATCTCTTCTGTTTAAAGCCGTCAATACGGCCCAACTTTCCTCCCCAACTTCCCAAGCTTCCATTTCAGTGCCGCCTGGGGCTTTGGACCCGATGTTCGCCGAGCCGGCCAAACCGATTACGGCTATCCCCACGCCTCCGCTTTTCCTGGATGTCGTGAAGCGGCAGTGGTCTTCGCCGGGGTCTGCTCCTATCCCGTCTTCGTCTGACCGTACGAATTTCCACGTCGCAGCTGAACTGGACACTCTTCTGCAACTTCCGTCAATAGATGCTCCCATCGCTGCTCTCCTGTCTTCTGCCGCCATTCCGGGCGATCCCGCTGAAAACTTACGCCCTGATGAACGCCGTACTGATCAGGTTCTCCAACGGGCACATCTAGGGGCCGCATGGGCCATCAAGGCAGCCTCAACAGCATCTTTTTTTAACCGCACCACGTTGTTATGGCTCCGCCAGTTACAAGAGAAGTTATCTCCAGAGGATGCTCGTATCAAGCATGACCTTAACAAGATTGTGGCTGCGGTTCAGTTTTCAGCGGACTCGACACTCGGCGCTGCACGGTTCGCTGCCAAATCGTTAGCTTCGGCTGTTACGGCTCGCCGTTTGACCTGGCTCCGGCATTGGCAGGCGGACGCCAGACATAAGTGGAAGCTCGCTTCGGTCCCATTTGGGGGGTCCCTTTTGTTTGGGGCAGCCTTAGATCCCTTTTTGACCGAGACGAGGGACAAACGAAAGGTTTTGGCGGCGGCCTTCCGCAGGGGGGATTCTCGCTTCTCCCCTTATCCCTCTCGTCCCCAGTTTCGAGGTAATGATTTTGGGGGGCCTTCCTCCTACTCTTCCCTTCCCTCGCCCCGGCCATCCACAAACTTTGGCAGGCATCGGGGCTCACAGGATAGGGGATTCCGGGGCAGATCGTTCGGGTCTAAACGGCCCTTTCGAGGGGGAGGAGGTCGTTTCATCCGTCGCCGGCGTTAATTACATTGTTGATCCTCCCATTGGCGGCAGATTGGCCATCTTCGTGGCCGCCTGGGAACGGTCCACCTCTGATCAGTGGGTCCTAGCCACTCTTCGTTCTGGTCTTGCTATCGAATTTGTCTCCATCCCCCCTGACTCCTTTGTCTGCTGTCCGATTTCTCGTAATTCGGACAAAAAGTCCCTTATGGACGCAGCAGTTCAGCATCTCCTGACCATTAGGGCTATTCAACCCGTCCCTGCGGGTCAGGAGCGTCAGGGTTTCTATTCCCGGGTTTTCCTGGTTCCCAAATCTTCGGGGGGGTGGCGCCCTATTTTGGACCTGAAACGTTTGAATAGGTACGTGGTGTACCGTAAATTCAAAATGCAATCATTGCAAACTATTTTAGCCGGTGTTCGGAGGGGCGATCTCCTCTCTTCCATAGACCTTACGGAGGCTTATTTGCACATCCCTATCCTTCCTTCCCATAGGCGTTTTTTAAGGTTTTGTTACGGTGGGGTCCATTATCAATATAGGGCGTTACCCTTTGGTCTCTCCTCTGCCCCCCGTACTTTTACGAAGGTACTGGCCGCCTTAGCGGCCTCTCTTCGTATCCGTTCTGTTAGGCTTTTATGTTACCTCGATGATATTCTCCTGTTGTCCCCTTCTCTCTCTCAGGCAGTTTCGGATGTTCGCCTTACTGTAGAGACTTTGGCGGCCCATGGTTTCTCGGTTAATTTAGATAAAAGTCACCTCTCCCCGTCCACCAGTTTGGTCCATTTGGGGGCCCTTATCGACTCTGTTCAGGGCAAGGTGTTCCTGTCCCCCGATAGACAGGCAGGTATTCGTCAGTTAATTTCCAAGGTGGAAGCTTGTAGGGCAGTTTCCCCTCTTGTCCTCTCCCAACTGTTAGGCAAGATGATCTCGGCCATCTCCATAGTTCCTTGGGCACAACTGCACGCACGGGAACTTCAATGGTTTCTCTTGCCGTTGCAGAAGGCGGGCAGAGGCACGTCATCCAGGCCGGTTCCGGTCCCTCCTGCTGTTCGCCGATCCCTGCGGTGGTGGCGCTCCCCGGCCCTAGCTGCGGGGTCGTTCTTCCTGGAACCTCAGAGGGTGGTAGTAACTACAGATGCCAGTCTCCTCGGCTGGGGGGCCCATTGTCAAGGCCAGTTGGCTCAGGGCACTTGGAGCCCGGCAGAGTCCCGCCGCCCGATCAACTGGCTAGAACTACAGGCGATCTTCCTGGCTCTCAGGGCCTTCCGGAATCTGGTCTCCAACTCCCACGTCCTCGTTCTGACGGACAATGTTGCAGCGAAAGCGCACCTGAACAGGCTGGGGGGGACCAGGTCGAGGTCGCTTCTCCTGTTGGCCCTGCGACTGGGATTCTGGGCAGAGCGGCACCTTTGCTCCCTCCGGGCAGAGCATATTTCCGGAGTGGACAACTCCCAAGCGGACTGGCTGAGTCGTCGTCGAGTGGACAACGCGGAGTGGCGCCTCCATCCACGGATCTTTCAGGAGCTGTCGCGTCGGTTCGGCATGCCGATCATCGACCTCTTCGCAACAAGCGCGAATGCTCATCTGCCACGGTTTTTTGCCCGGTTCCCAGATCCTCGGGCTGCGGGCGTCGACGCTCTTCGGATTCCATGGCCGGCGGGTCTTCTCTACGCTTTTCCCCCGACCTCACTCCTACCCAGGGTTGTTCGCAAGATCTTATACGAGCGGGCGGAAGTGGTCCTTGTAGCACCTCATTGGCCCCGGAGACCCTGGTATGCGGACCTTGTGTCCCTCTCGGTGGCCCCATCGTGGCGCATCCCCCTCGAGGACGACGTTCTGTCCCAGGGCGCTCTGTTGCACCCGGACCTGGCCTGGCTCAGCCTGACCGTTTGGCGGTTGAGCGGGGCACTTTGACTGCAGTACATATTCCGCCAGACGTTATTCAGACATTGCAGGCCTCGCGCCGCCCTTCTACGGATCGGATTTATTCTGCCACTTGGCGTGCCTTCTGTTCCTGGTGTTCAGAGTCTGGCGTTTCTGCTCTTCAGCCATCCATTGTGGACATTTTATGCTTTCTGAAGCAGGGTCTGGCTCAAGGCCTCTCTTCCAATACGTTACGCAGGCATGTGGCCGCGCTGTCTTCGGTCCTGGTCTGCGGATCTCTGCCATCATTGTCGCAACATCGCCTAATCCGGCGTTTTCTTCGAGGAGCTACGAATTTGTGTCCTCCTGTATTACACAGATATCCGACCTGGGATCTCCCTTTAGTATTGGAGTCGCTTACGGGACCTCCGTATGAACCCTTGCGAACTACTAGTCTCCGTCTACTCACCTGCAAGGTGGCCTTTCTTGTGGCGATAACGTCGGCCCGTCGTATATCAGAGATAGCAGCATTGTCTATCCGTTCTGACCTTTGTGTCTTTCATTCGGACCGTGTAGTACTCCGCTTGGACCCTACCTTCGTCCCAAAAATCAATTCAGAAATGAGGCAATCATTTCACACCTCTTCCCTTTTTTAAATATAAAGCAGCAAAGAGAATTGTTCTATTAAAAGAAGTCTGTCAAACAGAGTATGGAACCTCTCCATTAGTACCACTCTTTTTCTTCCCTAAAATGGTCTAAGCACATGCTGTCTAGAAATTCTTTGATTTCTAAAATAAACATGCAGAAAAAATGATTGAACAAATGGGAAATTAGTTCTGAGGAGAAAAATGTGCTGCTCTTCTACGTGCTTATGTTATTGCTGAATCCTCTTTTTAAAAAATCAAAAGGTTGAATGTCTACCTCACTCAGTCTCATCATTACTGCCGTTTTGCCTGATAATTTTAGGCAAATTTACTTGTTGGAAATAATTTAATGAATCCGTTTTACAGTTTATACCATATGTTTCAGAACTGATGAGCTCCTAATTTGTTTCAAATAAGTCTTTTGTTCATTCATCCTTTTGTAATGTAAATATCTATACTTCTGTTTTTGTCTTTAGGTAGCAAGTATAATACATGATTTTTCTGAATTCTGTAATTCATTCATTTTTCAGGACGTCAACGAATCATTCAGCTAGCAGAAAATACAAGGTACTTCAGAAGAAGATTGCGTGAATTAGGCTTCATTATTTATGGCAATGAGGATTCTCCAGTTGTGCCTTTACTTCTTTATTTACCTGGTAAAGTTGGGTAAGTTCATTCCTGTTGCACAAAAAACTGTACAAAATTTTCAGAATTTAATTTTTAAACTCAGTTCATTTGTAATTATTTTTAAAAGCTGTAAGAGGAACATAAGTAGTCACCTATAGCAAATTGGGGCTTTTCCCTACCCTCCCTCCATGCAATCTTGTGGGGAAGAGCAGGCTGCAAGTTCTCTTTGTTATATTATTTCAGCCTTGGGTAAATTCTTACTTGTTACGTGATTAAAAATAATGAATAGCCTTCAGCCAGAATGAGAGTCTCATCCTAATGGGAATGAATTTTCCAAAAAAGACAGCCTTTTTTTTTTTAAAACTAAGCTTATCAGTAGCCTTTTAAAGATTTACACTATGTGTGCTCAGGAATTTGGCACATCAATAGGGCTACACCCAGAGTAGTGGGAGATGGCAGGGAGAAGGAGATGATAGATAGATAGATAGATAGATAGATAGATAGATAGATAGATAGATAGATAGATAGATAGATAGATAGATAGATAGATAGGAGACAGATGAGATGGAACAGACAGACAATGGAGTAATCTAGCTTCCAATTCAGTGCATTTATTAAATGATCCTTTGGAGAGGAATAAGAAATGATTCGTTAACTGCGTATGGAAGCCACAACTAGACAATTTAATTAAAACCTATCAAGTGTGGTTTGCTAAAAGCAAGCCTGAGGAAGGAAAGTGAGACCGGGAGCCCTTTATTGTTTATTCATATGCAATTGAATTGTTAAAGTGTACTAAATCTACCAAATAAATATTTTTGAATGTCCATACCACACATACACAGTAATGCAAGAAAGAACTAATCCTAGCTGTAATCCTATCCTGTTTCCCCCAAAATAAGACATCCCCTGTTAATAAGGCCAATCGGGCTTTTGAGCGCATGGCAATAAGGCCAAGCGCTTATTTCAGGGTTCAAAAAAATATAAGACAGGGTCTTATTTTGGGGGGAAACACAGTATTGGAAGGATTTTTTATTATTATTAACATTGATTGTTATATCATCAGAGTATGTATATGTTTTTGGTATTATTTCTGCAATTCTTATTCTTTGTTCTTTTAAATATAATGCCGTTTTAAGAAAATAAGCCCTATTTCGTTTTGTTTCCTTACCCAGGGCTTTTGCAAGACTCATGTTATCCAAAAACATTGGTGTGGTTGTAGTTGGCTTCCCAGCTACTCCAATCACAGAATCCAGAGCTCGGTTTTGTGTGTCCACTGCTCATACACGGGACATGCTAGACACGGTAAGCACAGAGATAGACTTACGAAACAACCTCACTTCCTGGAGGGGCTTGGGAGAAGCCTCACTAGATTTCTCTTCTTTGTTGTCTCTTGTAATTTTGCCTTCCTTGTTTAAGCTTCATTTGATCACAGAGCCTTTGGAGCTTTTAAGTTAGATAATTAGAAACATCAGAACACGTTGCTGCTAGAAAGATAGAAAGTATAGATTAAACAGTGTATTTTATTGAACCCACTTGTATTAGGTTTTGAGTTTTTATAGAATTCTTAAATTGTCAAAGTGGAAAAGGAGCAGAATTATAAAATGTATATATTATTTTATGAATGATGGGAATAATACCTTTTAGAAATCCTGAAATCCTGTTAATAATAATAATAATAATAATAATAATAATAATAATAATAATAATAATAATAATAATAATAATAATTTTATTTCTATACCGCCCTTCTCCCGAAGGACTCAGGGCGGTGTACAGCCAATTTAAAAACACAGGACACAACAATAATTAAAAATTAAAATAATTAAATAGATTTGGCCGATTTAAAACCCCAAAAATTTAAAATACCCCAATTTAAAATTATTATGTTGATAGCCCTGCCTGGCGGAACAACAGGGTCTTCAGTGCGCAGCGAAACACCCGGAGGTCGGAGATCTTACATATTTCCGGGGGCAGTTCATTCCACAGGGCTGGGGCTCCCACAGAGAAGGCCTTCCCCCTGGGTGTCGCCAGCCGACATAATTTGGCTGATGGCACCCTGAGGAGACCCTCTCTGTGGGAACGGACTGGTCGGTGGGAGGCTATTGGTGGCAGAAGACGGTCTCGAAGGTACCCGGGTCCTATGCCATATTAAGATAAATATTCAGAACATTATGGACAATAGATAAAGATACATATTTTTGTTCTCATCAATAGTGGAATTATGACTTACCACTATAAGTTATTAATCAAGAACCTAACATGACCAAATTTCTGACTTCCTGTTGCTTTTTTCATTGACTGTTTCTGGGAAGCTGGCAGGGAAGGTTGCAAATCGTGATTGTGTGACAGTGGGATATTGTGAAGGCCATAATTTCAAGAACAGAATGATTATGGCCATTCATATAGCAATAATTGAAAGTTACTGTAGTGTTAAATGAATAATGCCTATGCCAGCATGGCTCCGACAGTCATGTAATCAAAATTTGGGCACTTGACAGCCTGTCCACACTTACTCTCTAAAAAAATTATTTTTAAGCAATTTAAGCCATTTTTTGCTTGTTAATTCCAGTTCTTATAGGTCACTTCCCTTACAATGGTATCACCATAATGGTATCAATTTTTATGGTATTGGAGCAGATTTGAGAAGTAGTATCATATTCTCAGTTTCCCGAGATTTTCAAGGAATGATTAAAGCAAGATTACAGTTAATGAGAGATTCTTAGAAGAAGAAAAAACTATGTTGTTTGTGGAAAAGCTTGTCAAAATTTGATTAAATAATAATTCTATCACAACTCTTAAGAGAAGGGACACTATCTAATTGTTTAAAAATATTCTGTTTGACTATATTGTCCTGATGAATTCAGAACTTTAAATAAACTTTATAATAATTTATTATCCAAATAGTTGGATCTTCTGGTTTTGTTACTCTTCTGCTTGTTCTTGAAAGACACCTAATGATTTTAAGCCCAATATGTTTAATAAAGTTGGAAAACATCATGCCCCAAGTTCAATTAATGCATTAAAGAACTGTAATGTACTATAAGGCCTATTAAAGAATTCTATATTTGCTAGAGACAGTCAGGACCTGTTCTCTGCAGTAATTTGAAAATAAAAGAACCCTGAATTTTATGCTGTGAATCAATAGGAATTACCTCACTGGGCTATTAGTTTTGTGTGGAAAGCAAGCACATACTTTGGCCACAAAAAGAATTTGTACGTTTAAAAAAATCAGTAATATAACCAGTGGTGGGATTCAGCCAGTTCGCACCACTTTGGGAGAACCGGTTGTTAACTTTCTGAGCAGTTTGGTGAACTGGTTGTTGGAAGAAATCATTAGGGCAAAGAACCAGTTGTTGAATTATTTGAATCCCACTACTGACTATAACCATATAATTCTAAGTGTTTGGACACAGTATGGCTGTTTCCCTTTTTTTTTTTTTTTTTTCCTTTGCTTTTTCATACTTTTTATTGTATTTAAACCTTCTAATCAGGAGTGAAATCTACTTACCTTCCTTACTGGTTCGGAAGCGTGTGCGCGTCACGTGTGCGCGCAGACCTTCTGCACATGTGCAAAACCTGTGCATGTGCAGAAGGTAAAAAACACTTCTTCCTGATTAAAACCAGGAAGTAATGACACCCAGGTGGGTGGGCAGAGCTTTGCTCTGCCATCACTACCGGATCGCTGAACCACCGGCCAAGATCGCTACTGGACCGGGCGATCTGGCCCGATCCACGAGCATTTCACCCCTGCTTCTAATACAAACATTTTTTATAAAAATGCACACTGTTGAGCTATGATGTGGACTTAACTTAATTCGAAATATCCTAGCCATCATTATTCCCTTCCTAAAATGGAAAGATATAAGAAGAATTTCCTCAAATATCTGCATAGACCTCCTGGATATGCTTTTCTTCTGTCTTTTAAGCAAGAAGAAAATATCCATGAACCAACATTTTAAAAAGAAGGTCACCAGAAATGTATTTGTAATTTTTAAAAATTAACCCTACAGCTATATAATGTTTTAAAGAAAAACTGATGTTTGTATTCCTTTAGGATTACAGAACCATAATAAAGGTCACTTTTCAAATCACTATTCCCACAGTAGTCCTTTTACAGTGTGGCAGGTAAAATGACTCAACCAACTAGGCCAGACTTCCCTTCCTGTCCATCTTTCTTTCCTTTGTCTCTATACTTCCTCATGAGTGCTACAGAAAGTATTTGGCGTCATGGTTGAGATTTCATAAGACCAATGTCCTCATGCAACCAAAAGAACAAAAAGGGGAGGGGAAAACCCGCTGTGCTGGCAAGATTCTATCTGCTATGGTGGCCAGAGCAAAAACGATTAGTGGGGAACAGAATCCTGCATCCCAGAGGGAAGGCACCAATCCTGTAGGAAGCCAGATGGAGCCAAGCAAGGGTGCAAGCAAGCACCCTCCAGTGTTCCTCCTCCTTGCCATCTAGAATGCCTGCATAAAAAGCTTCTCTATGGAAAACACCACCTCCCTATTAGATGACCTTGATCCAGATTCAGCCTACCTCAGTCACAGCTTAGCAATTTTGTGGAATGTTCGCTGTAAGGAAAAATCCTCAATAACTCAATTAAGCCAGCTTCAAGATGGGGCAAGGAAGATGCAGGGATGCCCATAAGATATGCATGTACTTTGATTTATAATGATACAGAGCTGTAACACTTTTCCAGATGTATTTAATTTAGTTTAATACTAATATTAAAAGACATATTCATATACAATGTCTCCCCCCCCCCCAAAAAAAAAAAACATGTTAATGCTGCTTAAAAGGCAGGTAAAGAAAAATAAATTTATGGAAATAGTATGTAGAAAAGTAGAAAAGTTATGGAAACTAACCAAAGAGGAGAAGCAACCTGGAATTAAGGAGAAACTTCCTAACAGTGAGGACAATTAACCAGTGGAACAGCTTGCCTCCAGAAATCATGAGCGCTCCATCACCGGAGATCTTTTAAGAAGAGACTAGACAGCCACTTGTCTGAAATGGTATAGGTTCTCCTGCGTGAGCAGGAGGCTGGACTAGAAAAACTCCAAGGTCCCTTCCTATTCTATGCTATGCTATGCATGCTACACTATGCTATGCTATGCTATGCTATTCCTTTCCTATTCCCGTTCCCATTCCCATTCCCATTCCATTCCAGTGTACCCACACAAAGAGTATTCTGGATATATGTTGTGCTCATGCAGAGTCCTTATCACCCTTTTCAAAACTATGCCTTTTCATCAAGACCAGAATCATGCAAAATTCTGCTAATCCAGGGGAGATTGTTAGACTTCATCAAGGAGATAGAAGCAGCTCTCAGAAACTACAAGGAACTTGTAAATGAATGATTTATGTAGAACCTCTGAAAAAATTGAATGAGTTATTCATAACAGTTTTATTATTTATTATTTATTTATTTATTTAATTTCTATACCGCCCTCCTCCCGAAGGACTCGGGGCGGTGTACAGCCAATTAAAACATAATATCTATACATCAATTTAAAAACCAAATAAAAGTAATAAATAATTTTGGCTCAGAATTAAAACCTAATTAAAACACCCAATTTAAAATCAACATTACATGCCATACGAGAAATAGGCATGACTTTTTGTGTCTTTTTTTAAAATGCCAAGTATGCCTTTCTAATACACTGAAATTGCATTTCAGGTCCTGAACGCTCTAGATGAACTGGGTGATTTTTTGTGTCTGAAATATTCCCGGCATGCTAGGTCATCTCGTCCTGAACTGTATGATGAAACAAGCTTTGAACTTGAAGATTAAGTTTCCCTCCCATGGACAAACTGTAATGATGTTACAAGGAGGAGATGGGGTTCTCAACAATAGAAATGCATTTCTCTTTTTCTAAGAACAGTTTTTGCTTCACAGTTACCTGATCCAAGAGCAGCATTTTATGTCTGTTTTTACCAGATTGGATTCTGTCTGCAAAGGACTAGAATATTGTTGCAGTTCTCTCACAAGGAAATATAAGTATTATTGTTATTATTATTAGACCCCAAAGACTTTAACTGATACATCAGTTCCTTTTACACAGCTCTTGTTGCTGTTTTAAGAGCAGAGTTAGAAAAAAATTAATTATGATAACACTTTTTAATGAATTGGAATGTAATGTAATAGCAGAAAAAAGTTATCTTGTTAAATTGGCCCTTATTTATAGAAGAAGTTTATCTCCATTGCAGCTTAACAGGATTTAGGCAAAAAAATCCCCATCAAGTAGAAATACATCGACATACTGAGTAAACTGGAGCTTGATTCAGGGATAGTCAATGGTCTTTCATGGTTTTGTGTAACTTTAAGTATTATTGTTAGAAAGTTTTGAGTAAAGAAAAAAAAAACAATTCAACTTTGCTGCTTGGTATTTTTAAAAAATCGTTTTATATTTCAGTTGATAAAGTTAAACCAAAACAATGTTAATTCAGATTCAACATTGTTGAATTATTTGAAATATTTCATAATTTAAAGAAGGATTACTTATTTAATTTTCAGGTAGGGTTTTAAAGTTGTCACACACAGTTTTAATAACTATTTCACTTTCCCATTTGCAATGTGTTAAGCCTTTCAGTGTGAAAAAAAGCAGATGTGATTTGTAAGACACTTTTCTTTCTCCATGAATATTTGTTTGCTTGGTTAAGCAGACTGCCGAATCGAAAAATTCAAGCTATTACAGAATATAATTCTCAAAGATCTTAGCCTTTGTGACTGCCATCTTCAAGTTGAAAGAACTGGCCCTTTTGCCTTATTACTTCAGTGAGATAATATAGGAGACCACAGTGAATGTTCTTTTCTGGAAGGTTGATATATCCATCTTTTTCTTGAGGTTAAAATTATTAACTGTTTTTAAAACATGACCAGTTGATTTGAAAACAGCATTTGGAGATTAAAGGAACAGGTGGATAGAATTCCATTTCTGTTTCACCAAATGAATGGGGCCAGGACTAATGAGAATATACCATTGTCTTCAGACTGTTGTCCAGTCTCAACAATTGAGGCCTCAGGTAACTATACGCACATACACGCATACTCTAAGATAACTGGTTGAAAGGCATTTCTATCACTTTTGAGAGAGATACAAACCATTTGAAAGTCTCATGATACTGTAAACATGTCTGATCAAGAGATGGTTTGGCTTTCTGTTTCACAGATGTATTTTACTTTCATGTTCTTGAAAAGCTGTGGTATCCACTTAACACACAGCTGCAAAATTAGATTTAAGAACTGAACAATTAAATTGTGGAATACCAATTACAGTATGGGATTCCCTTGCTTGTTAAAGCAGCTTTGAGGATAAAGCGAGGCTGATTAGTTTTGAGGTCCCTTTTTGTTATTCAAGTTAATAAAATTCACTGGGGGCTACAATGTTAAAAATGGACCACGGTGCATTCCAGAATATCAAGATCTCTGCTTCAGAAGTATAGGAGGGTAAAAGGAGCGAATTGTACAGTGTTATGTGATTGTTCACGTTGGCAAATGAACTTGAGAAACACTAAACGGGCCCATGTTTGTGCATTATACTAAAACTGCTGTATAAAAAATAAAGGATGTTTTTGTGTGTTTTTTAAAATATTTGAAGTTGGTTCATTTCTTGGTCATAAAAAAAAAATTGGCACAGTGACTCAGGACCAATCTACCCCTGATGAATGACCATATGTTACAAAGAAACTATGTTCTACAAGTGTTATAAAAATTTCCAGAAGTCCCTGTTCTCAGTGTCTTTTCCTCCATAATTCTCTTCAGCCACTAGCAATTTGCTTTTGCCTGTTTCACTGTGTTTCTATGCTTGGAACAGTCTACTAAGAGCAGATGCTGGAAAGAGCAAGCTGCTCTGATCATGATCAAAGAAAGCAGGACTCTGGCTTAGTGCAGCACATAGTTATGCTGCCTGAAGCAGAAGAAATGTCTGTAGAATGAGTCCTGAAGTTTGTTGTTAAGAGCTGTCTGATTTTGTTGTTCCCATGTGCAGTATGGCCATTCCCAAGATAGCCATAATGGTGACTTAAAAGCAGTCATCTTCTCTGGTTTTGCTGTTTCCACCTTAATTTCTCCTGACTTACGCTAATTTTCACATCTCTAATTTAATACCGTGTTTCCCCAAAAATAAGACCCTGCCTTATATTTTTTTGAACCCTGAAATAAGCACTTCACCTTATTACTATGCACTCCAAAGCCCGATTGGGCTTATTATCAGGGGAAGTTTTATTTTGGGGAAACAGGGTAGCAGAATCAAATTCTTCTCACTACATTTGGAAATTAGCACATAGGGCAGCTTCTTCTGCGTTGTAACCATAATCTAGTTTTTTGAGCTACTGAAAGCACTAAAAAGGTTCTACAAATGCAGTGACTTCATTTTTTTTTCTTTGCTCGAATTAACATATTCAAAAGTGGAAATCAATGTATTTTGTCCGATTAGACCACCAAAAACAAGGGGAGAAAGTCACCTGAAATAAAATGTCTCTTTACCCTGATTTTCAGTAACATGGTCTCAATAGAACTAGAGCAGGGGTCTCCAACCTTGGCAATTTTAAGCCTGGCGCACTTCAATTCCCAGAATTCCCTAGCCAACAAAGCTTGAAGTTGAAGTCCGCCAGGCTTAAAATTGCCAAGATTGGAGACCCCTGCACTAGAGAGCCATAAGTAAGAGTGCAGAGAATTATAGATGGGTTCCCATCTTAATCACAGGGGGACATGTAAGGTGCTACTAATGCAGAAATGGATGGACAGATAGTTTGTATTGTTCCAACATCAAATTATATGAACTACTATCTTTAAAAAAAATCTTCTGGGATAAAGAAATCTATCAAGGCTATCTGAAATGCACTGTGAGGATTTTGGCTAATCTTCCTAAAATATTTTACTTTGCTCCTTGGCTCCAATGTTTTGGAAGCAGAGAAATAATATTTAAAATGTCAAAATACAGCAATTATAAAATTAGATCAAAAGAGCATTATTTGGTGCAAAAGAGGAAAATTGGCCAGAAAACCTATTTGGAAAAAATTAATGATTGGCCATAGCTAAGTAGTTTCTCTGTCTAGAGCATTCTCATCTCACTTAGGATAACGGGGGACCATAATTTTTAAACCAAAGGAGTTTCAGCAGGAGAGAACTATTAAGGCCAAGAGTCCTGTATTCAGAGTTTTAACATTTGTCTAACAGTTTTCAAAACTGGAAACGAAGATCTCTGTTTTAATATACTTGAACCCTAAAACTTGCCAGGTTTTCATAGGGATTACGCACACTCTACAAAGGTCAAAGGCAGCAATATTTTAAAATAAATATATTAAAATGAAAGCCCAATGAAACAGCTTAAAAATCTGACAGCTCAAAGCTGCACATTGTAAGACATCTACAAAAAAGATTCAGAAATGTACAGTATATATTACAGAGGAGTTGTTGGTGAAAATGACAGAATTTTCAAAAATTGAAAAAACTGACTTGTTTGATTAGGGAAGAAGCAACAGGTATTTTTGTTTGTGACTGGAAATCCCTTTTCATTTCTGCTGAAAAAGGGGGGGGGGACCCAAGCTGGTGATTCAAATCAAACAGAAGATGGGGTACACTACAAACAAGTAATTTTTAAAGAGCTAAAAAATATTAAAAGGATATATAAAAACAAACAAGAGTCCCAAAATATGTATAAGGAGCATAGGTTGTAAAAAAAATGCTTTAAAAAGTTTTTTAAAAGTTGGCCATGCCCACCCAGTCACATTACCCCCCCAAGCCACACCCACAGAACCGGTAGTAACAAAATTTACATTTCACCACTGGTTCCCATAGTACCGGGGTGGGCAACTGTGGCCCTTTTACAACCTGTGGACTTCAACTCCCAGAATTCCTGAGACAGCCAAGCTGGCTCAGGAATTCTGGGAGTTGAGTCCACAGATTGTAAAAGGGCCACAGTTGCTCACCCCTGCCATAGTATATGCTTCCTATAGATTGCAGGGTGCTTCTATTCAGTACGATTCTGACTATAGGTGTGGAACAATAAAGAAATCTATTTGGAAGAATTACCATGTGTCTTTCTTGGTTTTTGGAGCCTGACAGTTTCTAAAATCCTTGGCTGAGGAGGCAGTTTCTTTTGGATATTGCTGGAGTATTGATCTCAGTATCACTATCATTGTTACTGGTGAAGAAGTCAGAATAGTGTACTGATAGCTTTTGGTGCCCAAGGCAAAACAGAGGCTGTGGTATGAGATGATTTTGAAGATGAGCACCTCGATGGGGCAAATGTATTGTTGCTGGATTTCTATATTACTTACCAGCACTGGGAGAGTTTGTCAGAATTGCTAGTTTCTTCCTCCAATTAATGAGTTCTGAGTTTATAGATTTAGCTTCCTCCCTCCTTGAAGTTTTCTTAGCCTCCTTAGTTTTGGCAAGTCTGGCAGATTTACTACCTTTTAGCTGTACATTTTTATGGTTATTAACTGCTGAGTCACAATCATTTGTCACTTTCCTAGTTATGAGGTCACGAACTAACTCATCCTTAGGGATTTTGACAGTTTGGACGTGCTGAGTCTGCCACAGGAACTCACTCATTTGTGTGTGAGTCTGGTGGGCAGAGACGATTGTTTTAAATCCAGGAATATGCACTTAAAATTTCTTGAATTGGGCAAGTAGCAAAAATCTTTTAAATCCATTGTTCTATTTTGACAGTTTCAGAGCTTGTTGTAAGTTTCAGTCCACCTTGACTGAAATGTCACGGCCATCGAAGAATAAAGAACAAGTTTTCTGCAGACAAAAGGCAGACCTCATGGAATGAATAACTGCAGGAGACTTGTTCCAGAAAATTAGCTCTGTTACCATCCTGCTCCGAGAAGTAACTTGGGCTGAAGCTTTGGATGATCAGGTGGGGGAACCTGTCTTATTACTGGCTTCTGTGTTGCCATAATCTTGTCTGATCCTGAAGCTATAGATCTTCAAAGGGGATCCTGAAGCTATAGCTCTGTTGCTCATATTTTTAATGACAAGGGGATAGGCGTAAATCCTCATCTGTTTCACTGCTGTATTGGATTTATGGACCCTCCAGTATCATTACTGGAGCTAGCCTAGGTTCTTTACTTGGCTGTGGGTTACATTTTTAGGCCATAGGACTGAATCAGAGAGGTGAGATGGTGGGAGCTTATTTCAGGAGCTGCTAGTTTGTTGCCATCTTGGCTCCTTCTCGAACTGGTGGCTTATGGGTTTGAGGATTAAAAAGGGTGTCATGGTGGAATCTTAAAGAGGGAGGGCAGAGGACAAATGTATTTCTCCTCTGGTGAGATCCATTTCGCTATACTTTTTGTATAATGAAAGTTATCAGGTGAAATCCACTTTGTTATTTTTTTTTCTTTTTCTTTACCTTTTTTTACTCTTTTTTTTCTTCCATTTGAACAATTTTTATTATTATATAAACTTCTTCAATAAAACTTAATAAAAACACCTTGAATTTCTCTTAAAATACTCATGAATCTCAATATACCGTTCCTCTCTGTCTAGGATCTCAGTAGAGTGTATTAGCTTGTCCAATTTTCCTTTCTCACCGTTATCTGGAACAATGCTCTTGGCTCAAGAGGATTGAGAAGAAATGAACTTCTTTTACAAGGCACGTCATTAGTGTAATGTTATATCCCAGTTGTTGAGGCAAACTGAGTGTTTGAGCATAAATTAACTGTCATTTGTGTATCTAATATGAGCAACCTGGTCAGAGAATGGCAAAGAAAATTAATTGTAAGGAAAGGAACACTTCCTTACCTGAAAGGCATAGCATGGATTAAAATGGTGCAACTGCTCTTGTGCCAAACTATATTTATTTAAAAAGAACATTACAGAAAATAGATAGTCTGTAGGAATGCTGTTCACCTACGTACCTTGCACAAAGGAAGAAATTTATTTTCTACGAAAGGGCTTGCTTGCTGTATTATCTGCAAACCAGTGAAATGTCTTTTTTTAAGTTATTCTCTTGGCCTTTCAGTTATAAATCTTCTCTTGTCAGATAAAATTTGTTCTATATCTGTCACTTTTCAATAACTTTTAGACATAAATGTTCTATGAATAAAAGCAGACATAATGCTAGTGGATATACTATTATCTGATTCCATTCTTCAGAAGACTCCTTCAATATTTTCGTTTACAATATTTTGCAACAGATTTGTAAATCTTTCCTCTATATAAATACTAGAGTATTAATCCACTGTAGTGTCCAGTTCTGAAATCATGAAATTGCTTTTTTGTGTGTCTCAAAAAACAAAAACAAAAATTATTTCCCAAGAGAAGATGCTTATTTTTTATAAGTCCAAAATCTTATTGCAAAAGTTCCAATGCTCCAATTTTATCTAGACCCTTAATTCATTTATAACTTTCTATGATCAGAATCTTATTTAGCTTTTTGCTGTTTATTTCAGTATTCGTACATTCTTATCCTTACAATTAATTTTTTCTTTTGTTCATGATCAACAACAGAATTCCCCAGCATTTTCAAACTTGTCTTTCTGAAAATCTCTAATACCTTAGAAGTAATTAATTAGCAATTTCTGAAAGCGAGTAGAAAGTGTAGTTTGTGAACCTAGCGTCCTTTAAAAGTTTATGCTGCAGCTGCCAGCAAGTTGATTACTCCCATTGTCTCCTGGCACTTCAACCCATGGAAAACTACTGTCCTGAGGTCTCCCCATGGGAAACAGCCATCTGGAGCACATGAGAGTGATCTCCTGCCTTCTCCGTATTTCATTCCAAGGTACTGGTCTACTCGCTGATTCCTTGGTCTTTGCTGTGATCATCAGCTCTGTTTTTGCAGAACCACCTTCAGTTCGCCATACCTTCTCCAGAAGCTCACCAATTCCCCTTAGTTTTGAGGAAGAAAAGTTCAAAGGGAAATGAAGTTCTAATTTGACTTCTTGCACTTTTAAAAGCAAAAAACCCCCAAAAACCTCAATTTCTCATCCAAAACAAGAGTTGGGAGGACATTCTAATCCTGCCATGATACACAATAGAGCACTCTTCATAAATAATCAAACAAACAAGGTTGTCCTTGCCCTCAACCCCTAGCTCACAAAAAACTATATTGTTGGATACCAAAAGGTGGACTGCTCCTGGTTTAGAACAATCAGTTTTTAGGACTAGGATTAGAGTTACAGGCACGAGGATTCTCAGCTTGCTGGACCATATGGGGTAAGAATCTGAGAGTGGTCTCAATATGTTCAAAGGGTGCCAAGATGAGGAAGTCTGGTTTAGATTGTGTATTTTAGAAACACGAGAGCATAATAACAACTATAAACCATTGAAACCATCGGAACAATTTGTTCTTCCTCTGCTACAGGCTTTGAAGAAAAGATGAAGTTTAACTGGACACATTGCAGTTGAAATAATCTGGTTCTTTCCCCGTGTTTGTAAACTGTCTTGATTTTATCTCTGAGGATGTCAACAAATCTGGCCAATAACCATAGAAAGAATTAGCCTGTTAAACAGCAATTCTCCCTCCAATTCTGATTGTATCTCTCCAGTGCAAATTTCACAACTCATCTCAGGAATCTTAAGAACTAGAGTATTGGCATGGGGGAAAAAATTGTTCAGACTTCTTCATTTCTTAATTTTCACAAGAACTTGCATCCCACCAGAAGGAGCATGTGACAGACGGCTTACAGGCAGGGACAACTGCAAGGGTAGTAAAAGAAGCTCAAGAAGGTGATGGCAATAATGCTCCACTTTTTTTCATACCTGCTATATTGCCCTCTCATCTCCCCTGTATATGGCCCTGGCTATAAGCCAACTTTTCTTTGTGTATAGTTGGAATTCTAGGTGTAAAAGTATTTTGAAATGAAAGGGGCCATGGGTTTATTGGCACATGAAAGTATGGCTGTATTTTGATTATAAGTAAGTCAGTCAGTCAGTCAGTCAGTCAGTCAGTAAGTAATAAACAGGCAAGCAAACAAACAAGCTCACACTTTGCCTTCATTGTCTATAACTGGAATTGGACTAGATCTTGGCTTTGCAAGAAATAATGGTAAGTTAAAGCTATTGTACAAAGTCAATATTTCTAAAATGTGCCAAAGAAGGTCTAACAACCAAATTACTTTTAATATCTTGGCTTCACCTAATGCACTTCTTTGTAACGTGGGTTCTTTCCTATGGCCCATTAATATAAGCCAGTGCTGTTTTCACCTCTTGTGCATTTATCTATTGTTAGCAGCAAGAGAAGAGATGAAAACATTGTAGGAAACATTCTTTCCTACAATTTTTTGTGTGCCTCAACTCATGCCAGGCAGGTGCCCACAGTAATATTAGTTTGGCTTCTTGATTACTTTTGTTTGTGTGGTGGCTCCTCCGATCGCTGAGTTTGCCCTTTATAGGACTGCTTTTCCAAACAGATTCACTAGGCTGCAGTCCTTGTATTCTGAAAGACAGGAAGGGGGCCTGGATTTCCTTTGTCTCCATGATCCACATCAGTTAGCATCCAGTCAGGAGGTCTGTTCAGGATGAAAAGAATATGGGATTGTGTAAGTTTCATTTCTTTCAAGAGAGGGAAATGTCTTTCTTTTCAAAGTACCTCTTTCATTTCCTGTGCACAGAGTGGCTTTGTCTTGAGTAGGATAATTAAGTTGTTGACCTTCTGTAGGGGTCAGATGGTGCTTCCTCTAGGAGAAAGATAAAAACTGTCAAAAATGGGCTTGGAGAATGCCTGCCAGATAGGTGACGTTCCATCATGTCTGATAAATGTGCAATAAAGGGAATTTGTAATTGTCTGCAATCAGCTGATCCCCCAAATAGTAAGGCACAGAAATCATTCAAGGTTTTTTTAAAAATTCTACCTTTTCTGCTTTGGCTGTCTCCTCTCCCTGGAATTTGATTAGGGAGGTTGCAATTGGATGCTTGAAAAGTTAGATTTTAATCTTCTGCAATTTAATTGTCTGTTCCCTGGCCACAAGATAGTTTTCAAAACAAGTAACCAAACCCAAGGAATTTCAATGCTAACACAAAAGTTATATCTCATGTTCTTTTTACTTGTTTTATAGGATTCACCCCTGCCGACTGAAAAATAAATTCCAGCAATCTCATATCAAATCCACTGAAAACTTGTTCAATGATTCATTCAGTTTTTGATTTTTTTCCCTTTTTTAAATAGCAGTTTTAAAAATGTTATTAGATTGATATCCTGTCTTATTCTGTTTTATAGAACCCAAGGTAGTACCTAATGCTCCTTCCTCCTATTTTTCCCACAGCCACCCTGCAAACTAGGTTGGACTGAGAGGGTATGACTATTCCAAAGTCACCTAGCCACCCTAAGGAAGATCTAGAATTTATGGTGTCACCATTCCTAATCCAGCACCTTATCACTACATCAAATGGGTTCTTGTGCAATGTAGATTCGGGCAGTTTAATACATAGCATTTATTTCATTCAATTTATGACCAATGTGGCCTTTTGTCAATTAAAATTGTTTTGGATGGGAAGATGACTAACATAATGACCAGGGAGGGGAGCAAGCAGCTATTTAGCACCTGTTTATTCAGAATTCGATGCAAATTAATATACTGTTCCTCATGACCTCCTTGTTATAGGATCCCTGCTACTTTACCAACAGAAGAGACAAAATATTTCATTCACAATTAAAAAATGAAATGACGTTCATGAAACATACAATATTAAACTACATGTGGACATTCAGAAGTAATAATTATCATTTTAACAGAACTGTAGGGTCACTATGATTAGAGAGAATATCACCAAATAATCCATTTTTATTCTGAAATCCAGAAACCGAACACTGAGAAGAGTTTCACTGCAGCTGGGTAAATGCAGTATCATGATCCATCCACTATCTTTGTATGAAACATGAAATGAAGAACATTTTTTACATTTTTTTATATGTCTCTACTTATGTGGCTCCTTCTCTTTGAAATCACAAAATCATAAAATGTAAGCATTGGAAGATATCTTGAAGATCATCTAGCCCAGGGGTGTTAAACTCAAGGCCCAGGGGCCAGATCCAGCCAGCAGGGTACTTAGATCTGGCCCGTGAGGCCACCCTGAAAATAGCAAAAGATCGGCCTGCGATGCTTCTGCCAGCAAAAACTGAGCTCAAGAGCCCGTTTTCACTGGCAGAGTGCTTGGGCCACCACAGTCATCCCTGACATGAGTGGTGTCAAGCTGGCCATGCCCACTTTGGGCCCCCAAGGTCAAACACAACCCTGATGTGGCCCTCAATGAAATCAAGTTTGACACCCCTGATCTAGCCCAACCTCCTGCTCAGTGCAAGAATCCACTACTATAGCTTTCCTGACAGATGGCAACCCGTCTCTGCATGAACACTTCCAGTGAAGGAAAGTAGTCTGCTCCATTGTTGAACCGCTCCGTAAGATGGTGTTTTGGGTCCTTCTAGTCTTCTGTAACCATCTCTTTCTGAAGGCAACCCACCCGCATCCTCCAGAATTTGTCTTGACAATGATATACAATCCCTTCCCTCTAGAAATGTATTTCTAAGGAAGAGGAAAAAGAAAGTCTTTTCATGTCAAAGCCTTCTGGCTGACACATTGAGAGGACAATTTTAAAAACTGACTTCAATAGCAAATTGGGCAAGGCCTAGGGGGGAAAAAATATGGTATTTTTTTTAAAAAGTGTTCAAAATTATCTGCCTTAATATAAACAGCTAAGGAAGGGGGGAAATAAAGCATTTTGGGGCATGAATTGTCCAATAGGCCAGGGTCTTTCAAGCTGTTTTGTGTGTGTGCATGTGTGTGAAAACCTGGAATTTTGTGAAAATTTCATGAGGGGACTTCAGGAGGGGGTGTAACTTGATTAAAACTATTTTTCTCACATTAGAGCTTTGCCAGTTAATCGGGGGTTCTAGGATTTTTTTCCCCCAAAGTTTCCAAAGCCTGAAAAGATTTGAAACACTCTGCTATAGTTCTTACAACCATCCATCCCCTGAATTTAACCAGCTAGAAAACTCAACAGATTCCCTGGGTTCACCTATGCCTGAAGGTGACCAATGATTTTAGTTGCAATCAATGTATTTAGCAGGGAGCTATAATACTGGGAATTACTTCTCTGGATAATACGGTATCTTGTATATAATCCAGATACTACCGGTATGTCGCATTGCATTTCCTGATACAACATAAAGAGCCTTGGTAAGAGCCTTGGTGGCGCAGCAGACTAAAGCACTGTTAAGTAACAACAGCTGCCTGCAATTACTGCAAGTTCAAATCTCACCAGGCTCAAGGTTGACTCAGCCTTCCATCCTTTCGAGGTAGGTAAAATGAGGACCCGGACTGTGGGGGCAATAAACTGACTTTGTATAAAAAAAAACACCACTTGGGGGGGGGGGCGAAAGCCCTACTAAGCAGGTATATACAAAAGTATGAAGGCTATTGCTTAATGCATTGTAAGCCACCCTGAGTCTCCAGAAAAGGGTGGCATATAAATCGAACCAATAAATAAAATAAATAAATAAACATAAAATTTTCGTCAAAGCAAGCTGGGCTCTTCATGAACACATTATTGACTGTGGTCTTACTTTCAGGAGGGGTCCTTGGTGCTCTCTGAGCTTGCTTGTTTTCTTGCAGATGTTTCATTACCCTAAGTAACATCAGCTTCATCAGTGCTTTCAGGACCAATTCAAAGTGCTGGCTGTTCCCCTTTAAAGCCCTGCATTAACTATGTTTCAGGGTACCTACCTGACAATCTTTCCTACCCAGATTTAGCCCAGCCAATGAAATTACCAAGGGAAGGGGTGTGTGAAAATGTACCTTTTCATCTTTTCCAGTAGTTGGTTGGGATGTAAGTGGTCTGTAACCCTGTAAATAAATAATACCATCATATCACCCACAAAAAGGAATGACACCCCCCCCCAAGTTCCAACTTTTAGAAAAGCTTTAAAGAGCTGTGGTGGCTCAGTGGTTAGAATGCAATATTGCAGGATGACTCTGCCCACTGCCAGGAGTTCGATCCTGACAGGGGTCAAGGTTGACTCAGCCTTCCGAGGTCAGTAAAATGAAGACCCAGATTGTTGGGGCCAATATGCTGACTCTGTAAACCACTTCAAGAGGACTGTAAAGCACTGTGAAGCAGTATATAAGTTTAAATGCTATTGCTATTTACACACTATTGTTCCATGGTGCACAAAGGTGCAAATATTGTAAAGGTTGCTGGGCTAATAATATGTTAGGTCTTTAACTAGTATCTTCATTGTTTATTTCAGTTACAAACTCTCTTGAGTCCCCTGCTGAAGGAGGCTGACTATAATTTATTGTATAATAAATAAATTCATTTTTCTTGGCAGCAATACATAAGTGGTTTGGCATTGCTTTGAGGTATTCTTCTTTTTTTAACTTTGTGGTCTCATGCACAGCCATGGTGTCCCCTAAAAGCCCCCTATCCAAATACTAATCAGGCACTGCTCTGCTTAACTTCCAAGTCCCAACAAGGTTGGTGAATTGGCCCCAATTATTTCTTTAAAAATCTGGATAAAAACAATGGAATCATAAACCTTTCTAGTGCCACCTATTCATATTGCTCTTTTGATTTCTTTTTAAATCAAGCTTGGTCAAGCAGTTCAAACAGTTCTGTTTCCAATAAATCTTAAAAATATTTCTGAATGATCCTTAATTTTCTTTTCTATTACATGGCATCAAACTTTAAGAATTTAGCCAACAAGTATGCCAAATAAAGACGTTTTCAACATTCCCCTGTTTTTCATCCTCCCACTCTGAAACCAACTCTGGAATTCAAAGAGGAATTAAAATCCCTTCATATTCTCCCAAAAGTTCTCTGCAGCCTTCTCTAATGCCCTTGCAACCCACAAACACATTTAAACAATTCCAAGCTGGATATTTAGGTTCTTTACTGGGCATTGTTCCTTTTGTCAAATGCTGCATTAAACATGAAATATGGATGTGCTTGTATGAAGAAAATGCTAAAACAATTTGGGCATCAATTAAGAGAGCAAATAATCTTTCTGCTGCTTTTTTTAACTTATCCATAAATCATCAGGTCTGGGGGTGGGATTAAGTAGTCTTTCAGGGAAGCCCACTGAATTCTCCATGACTATACTCAGACCTTCTTGAGTACTTCATGCAAAGAGAGATGAAAGCCACTTGGAGGACAGTAGACCCTCTACTGGTCTTGAAACCCTGGTGAACAGAAACCCTGCTCTCAATTGTTGGAAGAAATATCCTTCTGGGTTCAGCTCCAAGTGGGGAAAAAGACACTGAAAATATGGAGACTGCTTGGAAAGATGGTTTAATGGTGGACAGGATCACATGGCTTGAGTTCCTGAACAGAAAAGGGGTCCAGTTGCTGTGAGTCCCTGGGTTTTTATGCCCTCTCTGGGTTTTGAACTTCCTGGGGCACAGGAAGAGTATCCTGATTGGTTGTCAGACTCCCAGGGGGTGGGGGTCTTAGCTAGCCTTGCTAGCTGATATAATTTTTCCCAGATGCCATGTGGTGAGTTTCTGTTGCTACATGGGTACTATTGTGTTGCAGATGATGGTCCATTGACAAAGATGGGAGGGAATTGAGTTTCTGCCTGTGGCCCATTGACAAAGGGTGGGGGGGCAGGAAGGTGGGAGCTGCTTCATCTTTAAAACATGCTTCTCCATTTCTCATCCAGGGAAACATAATATTCTGCCTTTTTAATACTTCCTAAAATATTTCATTCTTCTAGGAAAGGGGTGGGTGCTAACTTCCTACACTTTAAAGCCAGCTCTGTTTTTCCTTCAGTAATTCTGGGTGGTAAACAGATTAAGACAGGGCGAGGCTTTGGGCTTCTAATAAAACATCCTAAAGACTAATGCATGCATAGTGACATGAAATTCCCCTTAATGGCCATGCATAGCCTCAGCGGCACAGTGTGTCTTCAGCTATTTGTGTGCGCCATATGTATAGAATTTGAGAAAGAGATGAATAATAGCTAAGTTACTGTTGAAGGTGGCTAGATTTGCCTCTCTATCCCATGTATTTTTATTAAACAACAACAGCAGAGTGTTCAATGAACAACAGAGTCTTCAATGAGTGTTCAAACAGAGTCTTCAGCAACCGAGTGGTCAATGCCTGAAATGCACTACCTGACTAACTTTGGGAGAGAGTGTCCATGTCATACTTCTATTCACCATAATACAGGCAAGAGTAACTGAATAAGAGTGTT